CTAGTGAACAGCAGCTCAGAAACCATTGTTTTCTCATGTTACCTGCCGGACTTGGGCCGCTTTCTGCTCCTTTCCTTCTGCTGTGCCAACGCCTCTGCTCTGCCAGGTCTGGTTCCTGCCTGGGGAGCAGCAGGCATCCTGCACATCCCTTTGTGCAGAGCTGATTTGGGTGGCCCAGTTTGTCATGGATACCCCATGCTGCACGAGGCATGTTTCCTGCAGGGACAGCAGCGTTTGGCCAGGCTCGGCTCGGTTCAGCCGGGCTCAGCAGGATGTGGCTCACAGATTTCCTGATGGCAGCCCCTAGGAATTCCACATGACACAAACTGCAGTCTCCAAAAAGCTTGTTGGTCTTGAAAGAAATAATTGTAACTCAACTCTCAGGACAGAAATGATGGCTCCTTTAGGATGAGAATACTTACATGTACAAGCAATTCCCTCATTTGCATTTCATTTTTATTTAACCCCCCCCCAAAATTCCACACTGTTTTTTCCCCGTACACAATTTGTACAAAGGACCTGGGCACAGCACACAGTCATGACTCAATCGAATAAATACATCCTGGTTTACATTTTAAAGGCTCTCGCTCTGGCACTGCCTGTTTGCAGGTCTGGACTGCCATGCTCAACTACTGTTATGGCCACATTCGAAAACAATGTATCAGATTTCTCAGAGAATTCCCAGTAAAACTCAGGTATAATCACTGAGCAGAAAATCCTTTGAGGTTCAGTTCCATCTTTCCACATTGGGGCACCCGGGTGGGGTTGGGGTTTTTTTTTTTTTTTTTTTTTCTTAATTAAAAAAAAAAAAAGGATAATAAAAAAACCCCAGGTTTGATATAAATATCTTGAAGTGCCATTCAAACTTTTAAACCCAAGAAGACCGTCCTGATTCCTGAGTCCAGTGGTCCATTCATACTGGTTTTGTTATCACGAAATCAACCAGGTTCTCCAAGAAACAGTAAATCATCGCGACTAAACCTCTGTCTCCTTGTTCTTTGCACTTGCACCCCATTGTAGGAAGCTCTGCAGCCTTTTTTTCCCATCCTGTATTAGAGAGAGGATGGATATTAAGGGCACACATTTGCACAAACAGTCTTTCTGGTTTTGTCTTTCAGATAAAAATGCCTGTAATAGAAATTCCATAACTAATATTGTCTCTCAAACTGTTCAAGAAAAGGGAAACTGGAGCTTGAATGTCCCTCTGAGAGATGTTGAATAAAATCTTCCTAATGAGTTTGCACATAGTAATAAAATACTGATTTTTTGGACCAAACAAAGTAGGTCTGTATGAGAACAGCTCAGAAGGTTTTCACGGCTCACGGTGATGAGGACTGAGCACAGGAGAACATTAAATATGAGGTGTTAGTCCCCTGAATTATTGCCCTGATGTAGCCAAACTTTTTTGCAAAGAGACATAAGAGTTTCTTCCCCTTGTTTTGGAGTCTCTGAGTCACCCTCTAAGTCATAATCTGCACTAGTGCAGACCAATCTGACATGGGTAAGTAACATATTCGGCTCCCGTGCTCCAAGCCACATGTCCCCGATGTAAATGGAAGTCAGGAACACAGAAACAGCTGTGGAAGAAAGATGAGAGGAAAATCAGAACAGATATTCTTCTATTTCCACACAGTGTTGCCAAGCCAAGCTACTCGGTACCTCCTGGACTAGGTTTTAAAAGAGTTCCCTAACTCTCTTCCTAGCTGGAAAATCTGGAGTGGCTTTGCCCATGCAAAGCCAACAATCCCATTCACAAGAAGGAACAAACCATTTTCCTGTTAAATAAAGCAGTTTGAAATCTGACCTGTCAGATGCTCTCACTGACCAGCAATAGGGATCAGCATCCAGGCCTGCATGGACTTGGTTTTTTTTGCAGGCTATTTTCCCTCTTGGAATTATATTCCTTCCATACCTTTTGTTCCATTTTAGTCCCTGAAAGGGAAGTTTCTTAGAGGGAGTGGGAGTGTTGTAGTGTCAGAAAACCTCCCAGTGTGACTATGCTCTGTGCTGCCTAATCCCCCAGTCCCTGCCCCCATCCCACCAAAGACACAGCTTCTGCTTTGGGAAGCCATGAGCCTGGGTGCATATGGGAGAACTGATTTAATGGATTAAAAAAGCCATGGAATTTCCTAGTTTCCCCCACCACTGTCTCATAACATGAGTGATAAGAGTCACCTCTCTTGTCCCCATCATCTTCCACCGTTGCTGATAGGCACAGAGATTTCACAAGCTCTTGGAAGGTGCTGGACACGCCCTGCTCCTCCATGAGCTGGAGCATGATGGAGCTGAGCCCACCCAGCTGCCTGGAGAGCCCAGCCGAGGTGCTGCTGGCCTGGCAGAGCCGGGTGTAAAGCTTGAAGAGGTTGTTCCTCAGCGTCTCGTCCCTGAGCATCTCCCGCACGGCCGCCGGGTGTGGCAGGACGCGGTTCCGCAGCCACCTCAGCACTGGGGACACGTCCTGCTCCCCGAGGGAGCTCTGCCCAGCCAGGGACCTCACCAGCCACTTAGTGACAACTTGAATGGATGCACAGGTGACAGGAACTGCCTCACCCCCAGGTGCACCGGCTCTGAGAGCCTCCCCTCCCTGTGCGGAGGGTGGTGCTGGGAAAACAGGGTCCCAATGGGCAAGTATGGAATACAGATGTTCTCTGCATTTCTCCAGCTCAGACACTTGCACGTCTGCAGCAGGGTCATCAGCTTCCACCTTGGTCCTTTTCCGAGTGTGACGACACACGTAAGATGAGCCTTGAGGTTTGTTCATGTCTTTAATATTTTCTGTAAGATAACCACCACCAAAACAAACATCAGATACTCCAAAGGATTTTCCTGGTACAAAATTGTGCAAGTATGGTGCTCTCCTGTGTTGATTCAGTCGTTACAATGGCAAGTACCAGCCTCGTTTAGCAGCCTCATGGAGCCTGCGCTGTTCAAAGGGGCTCTGGGAGCTCCCAGGGACTCCAGGCTGGAATCCTGTTCCAAACCGGATCGCCCAGCCTGGAGACGAGAGAAGCTCCTGAAGCCTGGAGCAACACAACCTACACATGCAGTAAGTTACAGGCATCACTCCAAAAACCCTCTTCAGGCCTTTCTGAGGAGTTTAAAGGGTGAAAAAACGGTAGAAAAGCTAAAGCTTTTAAAGAATCCCTTAAATACATGACACTTTCTCAACTGATACAGAACATTTTAAACAAACCTACAGAAGCTTTAACGTGCACCAAAAGCAGGTGCTGCTGAAGGAAACCAGCATTGTTTTAAGACCTCCCACTCCCAAGTTCCTTGCACTTTTTGTTCACAGAGACAACGAGAGAAGTCACACAAGTCCTGGCTTTTTTTCCTTTCTTCAAAACTGGTGACAACAAGAGTTCTAGCTTTTTTTCCTTTCTTCAAAACTGGTGACAACAAGAGATGCCAACTACTAACTTATGCCTGCTTTATTTATTTATTGTTTTTACTTACACATTGTTTTCAGATCCCCATCCATGCTCAGAATGATTTTAACTTTCGCTTGCTTTATTTATTTATTCTTTTTACTTACACATTGTTTTCAGATCCCCATCCATGCTCAGAATGATTCACACCTTTGAGCACAAAGCCTCCAGGCACTGCTTTTTCTTTCAAGATTTCATTAAAAAATACCCTTTTTCAAAGCTTGACTCAAAGCCTGATTTGCTACTAAGCTTCATTGTAAAGCTCCTTCCCTTCATAAACTGTGTTTTTCCAAAGCTTCCACATTGTGGTAAGGTTCAAAATCACCACAAGGAAGATCTGAAAAACACCTTTCCTTTTCCTTTCCTCCTCCCTCAAGGTACATCAGTCTGACAAAAGGTATTAGGACTACTTCCAGAGAAGTTTGCCTTACTTGAACTGCTGGTCTGTAACAGCTACAACAAAATATGCCTTCCTTGAACTATTTCAGCACTTACTGAGCAATTCTTTGTTTTGGTACTTCTGAGCCAGGGCCTGCAGGTCCTCCTGCAGCTGCAGGTCTTTGCTGACAAGGCTCCACTTGTGCAGCAGCAGCAGCAGCTCCCTGCTGGAGAGGACGCTGTCGTTGACCGTGAAACGCCTCATCTCCCTAAAAGCCTCCACAACAACAGCACGGTATTCCAGCACAGAGCTGAGGGTGCCAAACAACTCAGTCAGCTTGGCCACATCTACGTTAGTCCTGTCAAAAGAAAACACAAGTGCCATGCATGCTAATTCACCAGTACAGTTCCTAATCCCTACTGTCAGAATGGCCAGGAATTAGGGACGAAGGACTTGACAGGAACTGTGCATCACATTTTACTTTATTCCCCAGGTAGTCAAACACCTAAATTCTCCTGTCAAAGAAATCTCACCCAAATTCACTATTTCAACACACAAACTGAAGGTGAAAAAAGCCATCCATCTAGCAGAGATAAAGAAATCCTCCTGGCCTTAATAAAGTTCAAACTGGACAGAGGATGAAATGCAAACCAACTAAAACAAAAAACAAAACAGAGCACTTACCGAATATGTTTGATTAATGTGACCAAAACACATAGAAATTCATTTACAAGCTGAATAGGAAGAAGCTTCCTGTTCTCCTGGGATTGATTCTTGTTTTCTCTCTTGACTCCTGTATTTGTTAACCACAGAGTATGGACTAAGGAAGTAATTTTATTTATCACCTTGCTCTCCAGAAACCTGAAAGACAAAACAAAACAAACACAAACAAACAAACAAACAAACAAAAAAAAAACAACAAAAAAAAACTCATTTGAAAGGCAGATCCTCACCAGCAGCTGGTCCATCACCCACACGGGACCATAATCAAGGGCACTTTTGGGCACTCTATGTATGCAGAAGAGATTTTTTTTGTGAGGGAGAGGCAAGGGGAGGAGAAATGTTCTAGACGGCTCAAATCCATTACTACGCCACTTCCTGTGCAGCAGGCCCTGTGACGGAATGTGAACTGAGGGTGCTTGAAATTTAAAAGGTAGAGACACCACCACAAAGTCCCATTTCGCTTTTTCAGGTTTTCAAGGAAGCCATTTCCAAATCACAAAGCCCCCCACCATCATCCCTCCTACCACAACCTGAAAGCCTCTTGATTCTGCTTTCAAAGGCACAAGGGACACCTCAGAGTTCAGCAAGTTCCACCAGTACAGCCCTTGGTGCCCCTGTCTCCACGTCTGTCACCCTTGTTTCATCCTCAGCCACATAATTCTTCTACTGTGGACAGGAAAATTGTTCCCATTTCTCCTGTACTTCTATGGTTACCTTTTCTCCAAGCTGTGCAGGACCCATGTGAGGAGGCTGTCATCCTGTACCAGCTCATAGGCAGCTCAGGTGACACGGAAAATGTTCTAGACAGCTCAAATCTGTCTAGATTACTGTGCCACTTCCTGTACAGCAGGCCCTGTGACAGGATATGAACAGAGGGTGCTTGAAATTTAAAAGGTAGAGACACCATCACAAAGTGCCATTTCGCTTTTTCAGGTTTGGAAGCCATTTCCAAATCACAAAGCCCCCCACCATCATCCCTCCTACCACAACCTGAAAGCATCTTGATTCTGTTTTCAAAAGCACAAGGGACACCTCAGAGTTCAGCAAGTTCCACCAGTACAGCCCTTGGTGCCCCTGTCTCCATGTCTGTCACCCTTGTTTCATCCTGAGCTACATAATTCTTCTACTGTGGACAGGAAAATTGTTCCCATTTCTCCTGTACTTCTATGGTTACCTTTTCTCCAAGCTGTGCAGGACCCATGTGAGGAGGCTGTCATCCTGTACCAGCTCATAGGCAGCTCAGGTGACACGGGCAGCACTTTGTAATATCTCCAGAATACATCTCTGAAACAGAAAATGGAACTTATTCTTTTACAGTCAAGCTCTAATTATCTAACTTAAAATTAGCAATTTGGCTGCTATCTGATCAACTTCAAGGTAAAATGAACACCACCTGTTCTCAGCAACACTAGGGAAGGAAAGACATTCTCCCTTCAAAGCTTCATACCACAGGTGCTGCTCTTATAAGAAGTATTCAGGTAGCAAGACAATTTTATCTTTTTGTCCAAGGTTTTGATACCTGAAATACTCAAGAGTAGATGCTCCCAAACCTGAGAGCTCCTGGCACGTGAGTCTCCCTCCTGCTGAAGCACTGTTCAGGTAACAAATACACTGGTTGGGGAACAGAGACCCCAATAAAAGAAAAGGCCCCGACTGTAGGAGCAAAACCACGACACCCCCATGATCAGGCTCTAATTATCTAATTTAAAATTAGCAATTTGGCTGGTATCTGATCAACTTCAAGGTAAAATGAACACCACCTGTTCTCAGCAACACTAGGGAAGGAAAGACATTCTCCCTTCAAAGCTTCATACCACAGGTGCTGCTCTTATAAGAAGTATTCAGGTAGCAAGACAATTTTATCTTTTTGTCCAAGGTTTTGATACCTGAAATACTCAAGAGTAGATGCTCCCAAACCTGAGAGCTCCTGGCACGTGAGTCTCCCTCCTGCTGAAGCACTGTTCAGGTAACAAATACACTGGTTGGGGAACAGAGACCCCAATAAAAGAAAAGGCCCCGACTGTAGGAGCAAAACCACGACACCCCCATGAGGCTCCATGATGGCAGGCACCTGTTCCAGTTTCAGGGGATAAGGATGGGACTGCTTCAGACACAAGCAATTATTTGCCCCTCCACACATACAACAAAACCAACAAGGAACAGATTTTCAAGAGGGCAAAGGCAGAGTCAGCTGTTCCTTTCTGGTTTGTACTTGAGATTTTGAAGCCATGCAAGCCTCTGTGGTTTGGGGTTTTTTTGGAACTTCCTTTTACAATTCTTACCTGGGAGCCCTCGTCACACTGGGGAACAGAGACCCCAAAAAAAGAAAAGGCCCCAACTGTAGGAGCAAGACCACAACACCCACATGAGGCTCCATGATGGCAGTCACCTGTTCCAGTTTCAGGGGATAAGGATGGGACTGATTCAGACACAAGCAATTATTTCCCCCTCCACACATACACAAAACAAACAAGTTTTCCCCTTTCTCTGTCCGCTGGTTATAATAAGAGGAAACACAAAGCAGCAGAGGAGAAACAATGTGAGAGAGGATAAAAGCTTCTTTTAGCTGTCTCACCACATGCACGTAGGTGGATGAGCGAGGCAACATCTCTCTTACACACATCCATGATCTACAAGGTCTCATCTGCCAAACTGGCACTGGCTTACCTGGCTCTTCCCTCGGAAGCGAGCCCCTTCCAGATGGGAGCGGAAGGAAGCCAGGACAAAATACGCAGCCGCTCTCATGTTGGGGTCGTAGCTGCTCAGGGCAGCCCCTGTGAGGAGACATCAATCAGCTTCTGGGATAGGCCATACTGGTCAAATATAAATTCCATCAGGATTTCCATTCCTACACACAAAATTCCCAAGAATTTCTAAAACATACTTTCCCCTTCCTCTGTCCACTGGTTATAATAGGAGGAAACACAAAGCAGTAAAAGAGAAACAATGTGAGAGAGGATAAAAAGCTTATTTTAGCTGTCTCACCACATGCACATAGGTGCATGAGCAAGGCAACATCTCTCTTACACACATCCATGACCTACAAGGTCTCATCTGCCAAACTGGCAATGGCTTACCTGGCTCTTCTCTCGGAAGCGAGCCCCTTCCAGATGGGAGCGGAAGGAAGCCAGGACAAAATACGCAGCCGCTCTCATGTTGGGGTCGTAGCTGCTCAGGGCAGCCACTGTGAGACCCAGGGCATTGACTTCCACAAACTTGTGACATGCCACCACACACTCTGTGAGGGGGTGGGGGAAGAGAAGCAGATGAGTTAGCACTGACACGTCCAAGCGTGTGTGACAGCACCATATCCTTAACGTTTCTGGTCTTGAGCACCCATTTCTGCCTCTACCCCCACAGACTATGACCTCAGTGCATGAAGGCTCCTCCAGCTGACAAAGGGCTCCAGCAATTCACTCTGAACAGGAATTCTTTACCTGAGCTGAAATTCATGGGGCTGTTCTCATTCACGTGAGACAGGGATGATCCTGCCCACCAGGCCAGGCAAAATTAGGGGCAAATTCTGTAAAGACATCTTTGTATCTCACTGTTTCAGGGAAGCTGAGTACAAAGAACAAGAGGGAAAGTTCATCTCTCCAGAGCATTATAGGGCGCCTGAAAGATCAGCACTAAAAAGTTTCTGTAACAGAAAGGATGGGAGAATAACACATAAATAGCCCATAAACCACAGCAATTGTCCCTGTGCAGGCACAAGTGACTCTTGTGGTAAGGCATGCTCTGAGCCAAGTACTCAGCTGTACCCCTGAGCCCTTCTAGGTAAAACAAAGCCCAGCAATGACCAGAAATCAGCCCAAGAGAAAACAGGAAACACGCCCTTCGATGTAGCATTTAGCTTTCACAGTATTCTGCCATCAGGATTTGGAGTTTCTCCTTTAAGGGCTTGTGTTCTGTGTGTTTTGAAGGGTTGCTGCCACTTCTGCTCACTAATGGCTAGAAATTACTTGGTGTGAACCTTCCACCTTATCTCCATTACCAGGAATGGAGCACAGTGGCACCTCAGTGGTATTTTACCAGCTACAAATGTACCATAAGTTTAGCAATAATATTCATGTATTTTCTTGTCATTCACACTTAAGGTCAAGAGGAAGTTTCTAGAAACAAATATTCCTATTTAAGAAGGGGCTGCAATCTTACTGCCAAGTACCTACATTTGGTCCGCTGATTTCCTCTCCTATCACTGACCCCACAGACTACTGTGTATGTAAATACGTATATATATGTACACGTGTGTATATATGCATGTATGTATTTATGTATAAAACTACATTTTAAAAATCACAGATTATTTCTGTCCCTGTACCAGCACCTGGCCTATTTCTCTCATCTTTTTCTCTGCTACTAGAACTACTAAAACTCAATTTCATGCCTGGCAGTTTCTTACTGCCATCTCTGTTGGTTATGGGCCAGGCAAAGTAGGGTCTCCACTTCCCCACCAGCCACTGCCACTTGTCCCAGGGCCACCACTCTGCCCTCCTTCAGGCTGATGTGCACTAACCATTCACACAGTGGCAAAGTGCCACAGAATGAAACCCAAGATTCTCACTTCAGCAGTCCACAAGAAGATTTATTTGGAAAACTTTCCTTCACTGAAAACATGCAGTGGTAATATTTTCCATCCTTCTGCCCCTGGAGAATGTGTTCAATAACTGACATGAAATAACAAGCTCTTATTAGAAAAGCACCCCAATTTAATTCTATGTCTGACACACAGCTTATTTAAAGGACCTTGAGAACCAGGATGGAAAAGTTTTCCACAAGATGCTTATCAGAGCTAAAGATAGATAGACCTTGCTATCTGCCCAGCCCCAGACTTACTTTTTCCTCAGTGAGCACTAAACACCGTGCAAGAAGTCCATGTTTATGTATTCTGATGGCACTGTGCAGCCAGGACAAAGAGCAAATAAATAAAGAACTGTGAATTCCAAGAGCAGCTGACATGGTTTACAAGCACCATGGGACTGGGACTCATAAATCATTTGGGCCCTTTAAAAATGCCCCTCCTAGGACACAGACTCTCACTCTGTATGGAGAAGCTAAGAGGGCTATTTTCTCCTCTCCAGGTTCAGATTCAGAACAGCCACTGTCTTCACAGCTCCACAAGAACATGATGTACACAACTGCTTCCACCTTGGTGCTTCCCACATCAGCAGCCACCGACCAGCTGCACTGCTGCTGGGGTTGCAACAGACACTAAATCCCTCCCTCCACAGAGTGAGAGGTGCTGGCAGAGTGTCCTTTCTCCAGCTACCAGCACTAGGTTCCAAAGACACCAGCTGTCCATGCTCTTCCTCCCTGTGCACCTCAAAGGCCCAGCATTAACTGGATTGTCTAAGATCCCTCCAACTGCAAAATGTCAGATAGCTCTAGTACCTTTTCTCCTCAGAGGACTTACAGACAGTTCTTTTCCTGCTGCTGGGATTACACAGAGCAGTTCAAACCATAGCTAAGGACAGGCTAAGCACACCCAAACAGGTGCTGTACTTGCAGGAGTCTGGGTGAACAAAGGACTGAGTGTGATTTCACTGACAGACACTAACAGCCTGCCAATTGCTTCTAATATTACTGCTGTGGAAAGACAAATCTAGGTGTAACTACACAGTGCTTAACCATAACCAACACAGGGAGAGAGCTGGTTAGGAAATCCCTCAGGCTTCTTGTCTTCCTTTGGCCTCTGAGGGCTCTCTCCAGGGACAGTGTGTCCATGGAGCACAGCAGGGATGTGCACGTGCAAAGCCGAGTCATGCCAGACAACAAACATGCTGACATTTCAGAGCACGAGCCTATTTGTGAAACACACTGGCCTCATGCCCATCTGTCTGGTGGAAAATGAGTTGGCTGAAGTCTCCCTGTTCTGTAACAGGCCAGATCTCCAGCCAGTTCAGTCACAGCCCTCACAGTAGTTTGTTTCTTCCCTCTAAAGACAGGCACAACTTCCTTGCAGTATTAGCTCTCGGATCAGGGATAACTGCGCTCCAGGTGCAGCTCCTGCAGCAGAGCAACCTGACACTACATACCAAAGAGAAACACACACTTTACCTGGTCTGGTCAGTTCACTGAAGAGCTGAAGTAGAAAACAAGGATTGTAGAAGTCATCTAGGCTCTTCACTGTTTCATCTTTATACAGTGACTCTTGTATCCCCTGAAACCAAATCCAAACAAGTATTTGTAAGGAACAATAAGGAAGTATTTGTAAGGAACAACACCAATTTCAGGCTTGGTTTCCAATTTTCACAACCACCTCATCCCACTATAAACCACTTGATACTACACCTTGTAAAATACAATGCAACACAGGGTGAGACAAGTTTGTGTTTAAACCCGGCTTTCACTATGAGAGTACATCCACAACTATTTACCCTGACCAGCATCAACAGCTACAGAAGCCACAACCACCTCATCCCACCATAAAGCACATGATACTACACCTTGTAAAATACAATGCAACACAGGGTGAGACAAGTTTGTGTTTAAACCCGGCTTTCACTATGAGAGTACATCCACAACTATTTACCTTGACCAGCATCAGCTACAGAAGCAATCCAGCAAACTGTAAGAAAGGCTGGAGAGCCAGCGGATCCTTGGGCTGTCCAATCCTGGTCTCACATACATGACAACCTCTGTAACGCACTACCACCCCAGCTGACATGATGTGGCCCGTACCTTGCGATTACTTTGAAAAGTGCTCCTGAAGAACTAATTCCTCCTATGAATCAAAATTACTCTCCTGGTGGAAACAAACTGCCGTGTACTACAAATTTTCACAACCACCTCATCCCACTATAAACCACATGATACTACACCTTGTAAAATACAATGCAACACAGGGTGAGACAAGTTTGTGTTTAAACCCGGCTTTCACTATGAGAGTACATCCACAACTATTTACCCTGACCAGCATCAACAGCTACAGAAGTAATCCAGCAAACTGTAAGAAAGGCTGGAGAGCCAGCGGATCCTTGGGCTGTCCAATCCTGGTCTCACATACATGACAACCTCTGTAACGCACTACCACCCCAGCTGACATGATGTGGCCCGTACCTTGCGATTACTTTGAAAAGTGCTCCTGAAGAACTAATTCCTCCTATGAATCAAAATTACTCTCCTGGTGGAAACAAACTGCCGTGTGCTACATGGATGCAAGACATTAATGGTAGGGTAACCATGGATAGGTTGAACTGAAAGCACCTGTGATGGCAGCAGCCGGCGATGCTGAGGGAACGACAGAACCGTCTTCATCGTCTTCTCTCGATCCAGCAAACACAGAATCTCCTCCATGCTTGGCTGCTGCCACAAGGACTTCCCCAGACTCTTGCAAGTCTTGTGATGCTCCACAGCAGCTGGACCCCACAGGAGGATCCTTAAACATTGTTAAAGGTAAACACATTAGGCAACAGAGCCAAAAGCAATTACAGAGGAGATCAATTAGTACCAACATTTTTCCTCACTTGTAGTTAGTACCGTGTGGGACTTGAAACTATAACTCGTTTCACTGGCAACACCTTTTCCATCCATCCCAAAGCTTTTCAAATTTAGTCTGAGGGTGTCTCACTCACTCTGCCCTCCACTGTCCATCCAAGCCAGAATGTACCCTTTCAGAGGCACCTATGGATTTAAGCTGTAAGTGCAGGTAAGGATGACAGCAGCTGCATGAAAGGACAGGAATCCAGACCTGCCTCAGCTGCCTGAGCCAGTGCTCTTGCACTGCTGAAGCTATTTCTGCTCCTGCCTCCAAGACAGCAAAGTGCATGTGAGGAAGGCAGACCAAACCACAATTGTTGGCAACAGACTTTCATGTGGACTGCTTGGGCATAGGAAAGGGAAAAGTCCATTAGTGACTTGTGGTTCAGCCTCCCATCTGTGAGAAGACGCCTATAGTGATTCCCAATTATGGAGAGTGAGTGACTCCAGAAATGAGACATTCCCTCATCTAACCTACAGATACACAGAAGTCTGGGCTACATAAGAGAATTACATTAAGAATGGGAAATGTGTAGTACAAGTGTTTCCAAAAGGAACATCCATCTTTAGACAACACTGTCTCCTTCATTTAAAAATGAGACCCTGGAAAAATACCAGTTGTGAGACTACCTGTGTGTAGTTTGCCCAACAAAGTTAGGTGTTTAGCTTACCTGGAGTTTATAAGACTTTGGTTATTCTTCTCATACAACTGAAGCAACAGCAGTATCTTCTGATCTAAAACCCAAGATTGAACCACAAAGTTAGTGACCTGTGGACACAAGAACAAGATGCAGAAGGAAGTGCCTTTGCCAGGCTGACACTCACCTACGGTGCTCAGCGTGGCCCCATAGGCTCCCAGCAGCACTGGGAGGTGACTGCTCTCACACAGAGAGGGGCTGAGCTGCACAGCTGTCAGCAGAATGTCCACCAGCGCCTCTGGAACAAGCACAGTTTGAGCCCTGCAGCTCTCAGTCACACAGAGCACAAATTAACACCCCAAGACCTACTCCAAATGGATGCACACACAGCACTGGACATTTCACATCAGCATCTATCTCTAGAGATACCACAGCCCATTTCCCCAATACACTGAAGGTTGATTTTGATGCATTTAATTCAAGGTAACATCTTAAAACAGTATTTCCAAGCTGAATACAGAAGCCACTCGGCCAGGTGAGGTCCCCAGTGTGGAACACACTACTCTGCAGGAGTTTTCCATGTGTACACACCTGCTCCCTGGTTAAAGAGGAGTGCTGTGCCCTATCCTGCCACAGCTTCACTCCTTCCTCCCCCAGGAGGGCATCTGGAATGACCTCAGGAGTTGCACAGAGAAAGGCAGACATCCCAGCAACCTCCCCAAGGACTCCAGAATTCACTGCAAAAAACTGATGGAGAGAATATAATGCAAGAAAGACAAGATTAACTGTATTAAGTATGGAAAGATGATTAAAAAATACCTCTTGTCTGGGTGTTCATGCCATCTTCTTCTCTTGACCTCAGGATAGCTGACAAAAATAGAGAGTGCTGTGTGACCATCATGTGGAGTTTGGAGAGCTTGACTAAGCTCTGACTAAGTGAGGATTCTTTCTTGTACAGTAACTGGATGGCAATGTTCAGGACCTTCAGAAATGTTTCATCTCTGTAACGGTACCTTTGGGAGAAGGACCACAGAGAAGTCAGATCATAACCAGTCCCAAGGAAACCTGCTTGAAATTAAGAGTTGTTTAAGAAATGAGAACTTGGCAAAGAAAATGAACTTAGTAAAACGAAACCAAATTAAAATGAAAACACTTACTTGAGTCCTGTCTTCACAAGGCAGCACAAGTCATCTGGGTCCACTTCTTCAACCACACACTGTGTGCAGCAAGTAAGAAGAGATGCTGGTTTACATTTGGCACACGGAGCTTCTACAGCAATTTTTGTTCAAGGGACACACTAAGAACATGCAAGCCAAACACCCATGTGGGATGATCACAGGATAACAGGGAAAAAAGCTCTTGGACACAACAATCCTAATTCCTGGTGCAAAGGAAACTGCAAGTGTTTTGTTGGTCTGAGAGCAGGGGCCTCAAAGAGGATTCTTACAAGAAAGCCATCATCAAGAATGTAAAATTGCTTCATATAAAGGATTACCAGGACTCTGCAAAAGCTATTAGAAGTCCATGGAAACCAGAATCCATAAAACAGGAAATCAAGCCCGATCTGTATTTACAAAATCTACAACTGCCAAATCACACATTTGCATAGAGCCCCACTGTGGCAAAGCAGATAAGAAGTCTCACCAATAATTCCTCTAGCCTCAGCAGTATGGATGTCTCCACTTCTTGCTTGCTTTCATCTTTACTGCTGCTGTACATGGCAACTAACCCCTTTATGTAGGCTGACAAGAGATTTCTCCTCCAGGAATGCAGTTGCTTTGAGTTTTTAAGCACTGTGGATACGGCATCTGCCATGGCCCAACTGCAGAGACATAGCTGTTGATTTTTTTATTAATATTTTAAGTTGGTTTTGTATATGTCAAAGATGTTTTGCTGCCAAAGTGCAAAGCAAGGGATTCTCTGAAGAGAGGATGCTGCTACCGCTCCCATTCCTATCACAGTGCTTCCCAGGACAAACAGCCCTGAGGGAGGCACACACACACACACTGCCCACCTTTCTTCATTCCCTGCTCTCTCCAGAGCAGCAGGAAGGCAGTCCATTAGGTTGTGCAGCCTTTTGCTTTCCAAAGGTGGCAACAGCTTTGAAAGAATTTGCAGTTTGACAGTGGCCTCATGCGACGCCCCAGTGTCCTGAATCTCGGCACAGAGCTCCTTCCACAGGGCTTTCCTCAGGACAGGTGTGACAGCCGAGACAACTGTTGGGAGAGCAGAAGGCACAGGTTCCACCACCTGCAGGTGTTAAACAACAACACACTAATCCCAAATCACTTTCTAATCCAGGCCCAAACTACTCAAATTCTAGGAAATGATGCTACAGCAGCTGCTAGTCTGTTACAGAGAAATGATAATTCCTCTAGCCTCAGCAGCATGGATCTCTCCACTTCTTGCTTGCTTTCATCTTTACTGCTGCTGTACATGGCAACTAACCCCTTTATGCAGGCTGACAAGAGATTTCTCCTCCAGGAATGCAGCTCCTCTGAGTTTTTAAGCACTGTGGATATGGCATCTGCCACGGCCCAACTGCAGAGAGATAGTTGTTGATTTTTTTAAATTAATATTTTAAGTTGGTTTTGTATAATAGATTAAATGTGGTTCAAGGTCAGGCAGGATTTCAGTTGCCAGTGAAGAAGAAACAAAGCCAATCCTACACATGAACTAGCATCCAATTTATATTCTTCTGGAAGGATATTCCTCATGAAAGGCTGCAATATGAAATACATGCAATTTAAATTGCCATTTTTGATAAAACTTTCAAAATCAACTTTAAATCTCCTGTATCAACCTGTTTTAAAACAGGTTTAAACGTCACAGGACCTATGTGCACCTTAGTGATCTTACACTAACTGCCTCACAGAAACCAAAA